ACTAACTTATTTATAAATCTATGTGATAACTAAACAATTATGCAAAAGGGGAATAATATATTACGAAAATATAAATATGATAATAATACACATTAAATATTGGCATCCACCAATTATTATTTATAACATTCCCCCTTTGATGTTCAATATTTAGAATATGTATTGTTAAAAAATCTTACTAGGAAAAATTCTTTGGGATAAAAACCTAATGAAAGAAAAAGAGTATATTATTCGTAAATATTTATTTTTCCCTTTCATGCATACAATTACCTTTAAGATGATGGAACCCAATCTTGTATATCAATTACCCAAAAACTTTTCTTTGAAGTGACTTTTCAAATAGATCTGCTAGGTTATCACATGAGCGAATTTGTTGAACATTTATATCCTCATTCTTTTGAAGATCATGAGTAAGAAAAAAATTTGGTAAAATATGTTTTATTCTATCTCTCTTCATGTATCCATCTTTTTCAACTATGCAATACATGCAACATTATCTTCATGTATAACTATTGATGTTATTTTTCTAGAAGATAAATCACAAGTTCCTCGTCTATGTTGAATCACAAATCTTAGCCAAACACATTCACGACTTGCCTCATGTAATGCTAAAATTTCTACATGATTAAATGAAGTGGTTGCTATGATTTGTTTTACATATCACGCATGAAATGACTATACCACCACTTATAAACAAATATCCTGTTTGTAATTTACCATTATGAGGATCTGACAAATATCATGCTGCATTTGCATAACCATTTAGTTTTGATTTGGAAATATTTGAATATAATAATCTCATCCATTGTACCTATAAGATAACAAAGGATTTGTTTAACTCTATTCCAATGTCTTTGTGTAGGTGAAGAACTATATATTGCTAATAAATCAACAATAAATGTTGTATTAGGTCATGTATAATTATCGAGATACATTAGTGTTCTTATAGCATTGAGATATAGTACTTTAGGACTAAGTATTTCTTCATCCTTTTCTTAGGGTCTAAATGAATCTTTGTTAACATCTAAAGATCTTATAACTATCGGAGTGCACAATAGATGTGATTTGTCCATATAAAACCTTTTAAGCACCTTAATTATGTAAGTTTCTTGATGCACAAGAATTCTATTTTCTAAATATTCAATTTACACTCCCAAACAAAACTTTATCCTTCCTAGATCCTTTATTTCAAATTATTTCTTTAAGTAATCTATTACTTTTGAAGCTTTTCAAGAGTTCCAATAATGCTTATGTCATCTACATAAACTACAATTATGCCAAATCCATTTTCATTTTTTTTATAAATATACACGAACAAATTGGATCATTTTTATATCCTTCTTGTAACAAATATTCATTTAGATGATTATACCACATATGACCTGATTACTTTAGTCCATATAGGGATTTATTCAACTAGATCGAATAATCTTCTCCAAAAATTGCATCATTGGGCAAATTAAATCCCTTAGGGAGTTTCATATAAATATTAGCGTCAAGACAGTCATACAAATATGTTGTATTTGAGATATTATATGTTGTGATTAAAAGAAAAGATCGAAGCTTAAGAAAGATGACATGATGTTTTAACTTTAAGAAATGGTGATGCAAAGGAGTCAAAAAGATCAAGAAGTTGTCATGTTGTAGTAGAACAGGTCATTTTTTTAATTTGTGTAAGTCTTAGTTAATTGGATAGGTAGATAGGGTAGGTTTACTAAAACTATCTTCTTGGTTTCTAAAGTTTCTAAAATAAAGACATAAATAAGCCAATAAGAATTTATTCTTTTAAAATAAAAGTAACCAAGCTACAAGAGACTAAGAGTGATAGAAATGATAATATTACCTTTTACAAAAGTCTTTCCACACATCGACAATAACATCCATCTAAAGGATACTTTAAAGAAATGGACAATGATTGATCTCCAGATGGTACCAATGTCTTGCATTGATCTTTTGCCTTGGAATTAACACTATCAATGTGCTAGTTAGGGGTATTTACAAATCAATTTGATTTGGATTTGGAGTAAATTAAAGTTTGAACTTGCCACTTTTGATTGATTTGAACTAGATTTACAAAAAAAAAAATGCAATTTGAACCAAACCATACCAATTGATAATGGGTTGGTTTTGTTTAGATTAATTAGAGTTTTTTGAGAAAAAAAATGGTAAGCATTTTTCTAAAACATAAAAATACATTATTTTCCTAAAAATTTAAATAAAAACATATTATTAAAGTTAAAAGAGTGTAATAACATTTAAGCGTAAATAAAAATTAATGTAAAAAATATGAAATTAAAGTAATCAAACAGAGTCAACATTTGAATTTAAAGTATTGTGACATTTAAAACTAAGATAGCTCTTCAAACATAACTAAATTGTCTAAGTTACCATTATTATCCAAATAATTTTAATTCATTATTTTCTCAAATTGAATGTGAACATGCAAATAATATATTAGGTGAAAATAAATGTTAGATTTTTTTTTGTATATAGTCAAATGGTTGGATTAGGAAGAAGTGAACAATAACTCCAAAAGTGACTGAAAAATGAAAAAGTTGAATAGTCATGGAGCGTATAGCATGTGTCTAAATATAATATGTATAGTAATTGATAAGTGAATGCAAGATAACTAATAAAATAATAATATTATAGAATAACTGTTGTAGTATTACTAGAGTGTTAGCAAAATATAGTAGTATTGTATTTATATATTACTAATAGAATCATAATATCAAGATAATAATAATAATAATAATAATAATAATAATTTTCATTGATTTAGTTCTCAAATCATCATATTTATAAAATGTAAATATGATTCAAATTAATTAAAGTCGTATTTAATTAGAATTCAACTCAATAAAAAAATCAACTTTATTAATTTAATTCAAATCATCAATTTTATCGTTGACCGAATCAATGACATCCCTACGACTAGTTTTGTTAAAGTTTCATCGACAAATTCAATCAAATTTTTGGTTTAGTGTCATAGTCAAAGCCCTGTATCACTAAGATAATCTCACCATTTAACAAATTAGGAACCAAAATTAAACTTGAGTTTAGATGCAATAAAAGACTTGAAGCATCAATAGCTTAATTCACAGTGACTCTGATGAACAATTTCTTCCATTGATAGATCTTCAAAAAAAAAAAGGAATCCATAAAGGAAGAATCCTTCGGGAGAAGAATTGAAGTTTAGCACCAAAATCAAAGCATCTTGGATTGGTGCTCTTAATATCAACTAAGGTTTTCATCACAGCAAAATTGGTCGTTTCCACCATCATGACCATAGGGTCATCTTGGTAGGGGTCCAAACCTTTAAAATCTTTATCAATAAAGGTTATCAACGACATTTTTCAGGAAGGGGATTGTCTTGCCACAACATTTATCGACTTCACTAACCAAAGATGTTGTCTTCTTGCTAAATTGGTTGACCCACCTTTAGTAAATCTACTAGCAATAGTGTTGATTACTCCTCGAAGTTGAGAACTCGGAGGATCTTCTTGTCGACAATTTTGCTTTGGACTCAATTGAGTTCTAATGGTACGATTGTGGTTTCTCTCTCGGTGTTTGTACCTTTGATCACTTTCTTGAGAGCTAGAATCATTTCCTTGTATATATTTTTGCATGTGACCAGCCTAAATTAGCTATTCAATTTTATCCTTCAAGGTCGCACACTTTTTAGTGGTATGCTCAAAGTTATTATAATATCAACAATGTTTGCTTCAATTAGCCTTCTAAGGGGGTGGGAATTGACTTAATAAGGGGTATCAAATCACTGCTCATGGCTTCATTAAGTATCTGAGAGCGACTATCATTTAGGGGATTGTAGTGAGAATATTGAGGTTGTTTATGCTCCCGGGTTCTTCGAGACTAATTTCTCTCCCTTTTATCCCCTTGGGACTATACTTTCCCCTTTCCATGATCCTCACCAGAGTGTTTTCAAAACTCAACAAGTTCCTCTATATGAATATACTTCATGGCCTTTCTACAAAGTTCCTCCATGGATGCACTTGACTTTTTATATAGATTATCTAAGAAAGGACTTGACTTTAGTGCTGATAGCATCTGGTGTACAGTAACCTCTTCGATTAAGTGAGAATTTCAAAAATAACCTTCCCAAACCTATCCATGAAGGCTTTAAGAGGTTCTTCCTTTCCCTGTTTGACACTGATAAGAGTCACCAAGGTCATAGCATGGTCATAGCATGTGACCAACTAATGTCAAGCTGCATAGTGAACTAAGAGACGAGTGCTTAGAAAGAATTTACTGACTGAGAAGACAGACTAGTAAACCACCTCAAAGTTGAACCCTTTAATGAGATGGAGAATAAGTTACACATGACAACATCCGCATTGGAGAGCATGCTAACATGAGAAATATATAGGTAGACATAATCATCAGAGTCAAAGGTCCCATCATACTTGTTGAGTCCTAAATTTTTCCATCCTCTCAAAGGGGGAGCCTCC